AATGAGAAAGAGAATTTTAATGGAAAGTGCCTCTAATTTGGATTTGGATTTATCTAGCTTAGGATTTGATGACTCTGATGTATGTAATAATTTATACTTAATTTATATTTTAATCATTTATATTTTAATCATTTATATTTTTTATTTATATTTTTTATTTATCTAATTCCTTAATTATTTAAGAAGGAAGAGGAAGACGATAATGATCAATTTGAATTTATGTGGAACGATTGCTTGCCAGACCAGATGATTGTCTTTGGAGTTGAAGATATACCACATATTATTAAAACAGTTATCACTGGAATGCAACCGATCAGAAATAAATCTCAAAAACCTGTACCTGCGAATGTATTATTCTTGAGTGCTCGATTTGCTCATTATTTTAGTAGCCCTGAATTATTAGAATCATTATTATTCGAAGTTATTAATTCCATAGATACTGTTGTCAAGGTATGTATCTTTATATTATCATATTAACTTTTAATTGCCCCTTAATCAAATTCATAATCCTATTTTATTTTCATTTCAGACACGACCCGATGATATGACTCTTTTATCATTCTGGATTTCAAATTGCACATTATTACTGTACTATCTAAAAAAAGATTCAGGTCTTGCTAGCGCTACTGTTGAATATCAATTAAGGATCTCTGAACAACTTCATGAAACATATGTATTTTTGATAAGAGATGCCGAAAGACGAATTGAAAAAGTATTAGAATCTTCAATGTTAGAATATGATGCCATCCCTGGAATGGATGATGTTCGGTTCGAAGGTGAATGGAGGGTTTTCAGAAATTTCACCCGGAGATCAAAAAGTCCTCAAGAAAATGGCTATACAACCCCGTCGAGACCTTCATCTATCAATCTAAAAAGAAATTCCTCTTCAAATATGATACCTTTTCGTACTCCCGCGTCTCCACGGCAACGAAGCGCTCCATCTCCCCGCAATATTACTTCCCTTTTATCCTCTACACTTTTTATACTTCAAACTTATGAAGTTCATCCGATGATCATTGACCAAGTTCTCAATCAGCTATTCTATTATATTTCATGTGAACTCTTTAACAAAATCCTTTCTCGCAAGAAATATTTGTGTCGGTCAAAGGCAATGCAAATTCGTCTTAATGTTTCTGTTATTGAAGATTGGGTCCGCACCAACAATTTATCGTTATCTCTTATATCACATTTCCAACCTTTGATTCAACTTTTACAATTGTTGATGTGCTGGTCTCAGATGACTGATTTTGCATTTTTAGTGCAAACTACTAAAGAACTTAACCTTATTAATCCTGCACAACTTAAGCGAGTCAGTAAAAATTATAAATATGAG